TCCAGCAGGTGCAGCGGGGCCTCCTGGCCCAGGAACTCCTGCAGGTCTTCTCTGAGGGCTTCCCCACCATGGGCATCAGGGCCTGAACTATGGCCATTCACCTGGGAGGGAATAACAGGGCCAGGAGAGGTGGGACTCAGGCCAGCTGGCGGCTATGTAGGGTGGAGGCCTGTACAGTGGAAAGAGAACTGGCTTCCAGTAGCATAGTCTGCTTGGGTTCAAATTTCAGTTCTGCCACCTGTTAGGTGTGAGAGCCTGGTTAAGTTACTTAACCTCTCTGAGCCATAGTTTATTTGTAAGTAAAAGAAAATAAAACCAGTCCACAGGGCTATTGGGAAGAAAAAGAAGTGATATACAAAGCACTTAGTTTTTGGCACACAGTGTATACTCAATAAATCAACAAATGCTATCCCATCTCCTATGCCATGAGCTCCAGCTTCCAGGCTGGCGAGCTACTAGCCTTACTGGGCCTGGAGGGGTTGGAGACCATGGCTATAGGAGTGTCGCAAAGGAAAAGAACCATGCTTGGGCCTTTTTTGAAAGAAACCATTCCACTTGAGATAAAAAAATCAGTTGTGATGTAGCTCCATGCCTTCATCAGCTGCCTCTTGGGGCTTAAATTTAGTCTGGCTAATCACACAGTTTCCTTTGCCCTGGGTCTACTTAAGAGGCTCAGAAGTCAGATGAGGTAAAAAATGGGCACCAAGGGAAACAGGCCCTTTCTCCTCCCTCACCTATGTGTGATGCCAACACTTTCCACATGTTTCTTCTCCCCATTTTTCCTGTTGTCTCTCTGCAGGGTGCAGGAAGATGGGGTGAGGAGTAGGAGAAGACAGTAACCTGGCTGAAATCTGCTTTTGGAGGAAGGGGTCTGTGATATGACATGTGTGGGTTTCCAATGAGAACAGTGAACCCTACAAATTCAAACCCCACAAGCCCAGGTGGCAAGTGTCATCTGAGAGACCCAGGAACACACTTCTTTCCAAAGATGTTGCCTCTTCTCTGAACTTAGGCCCACCATGATGCACAACGATTCCCTTAACCACCCCAGGGAAAAGAGCTATAAGCTACAACAGGAGAGATTCAAATTAGGTATCAGGAAGAACTTCTTAACAGCAGGTGAAAGGTGTTGGAATAACTACTTGAAGAGAGAAAAGAAGAAAGACCTTTAAGGGGTTTTTTCCTTCCTTCCGAGACAGGGCAGTGGAATTGCATTTAGACAAGCAAAAGATGCAAAGGTGCTTCAGGTGCTTCAGGGCCTGGGTTATCTAGGGGTGAGGTTTACCTGCTGGAGCATCCTGCTTCAGGGTGGTCAGCCAGGGTTCTGGGTCCCAGGCACAAGGAGGGCTATCCGCCTAGTCATGAGGACACAGGCTGGGGCATCGGTCCAGCAAAGGGCTCAGTTCGGGAGGAATCTGAGATGAGTCACTCCAGAGCCTATGGCATGAGAGAGAAGACAAGGACCACACACAGGTGAGCACTTCTCCAGGGTGACTCACTCCTCATACTAAGCAGAGGAGCCAAAATGAGAACCAGAGTGAGCAGGGGCAGAGAGGGAGTCTTTTCTGTTCCCTGCCAATTAGGGAATGGGAAACTTTCACAAGAGCTTCTGGAGGCTCTCTGTGCTCCTTCAGAGCTAGTTGTGCTATGGGGGTTTGGGGTGGGGCTGCAAATCTTCTGGGTCAGTGTGATATGGAGGGCGAAGACACTGGGAGACAGAGTAACCTGGTGCCCTGTCCTCTCCGCTAGACAGAAATATCCTATTTTAGTATAGCCAGTAGTTCATGGGTGGGAGGCTGAAGTAAACTAGATGCTCCAGGAAGAGAAATGAGAGAGAGCAATCACGGCTCGTTCACTGGTCAGTCATATCACCTTCCTGGTCCACTTTGATTCCTCATCTTGCAAATGGAGATAGTAAAATCTACCTCAAATGGAGTGGTTGTGAAGGTCAGTGAGGTCATGGATTGAAAGCACCCCTCAAAGTACAAATTTGAATATCCACTCAGAGGGGGAATATTGCTAGTAAAATTAACGATATTTGGGGGCACTAATCAGGTGAAACGCTCCAATGTCAACTTTAAAAAGATGAGAATTTCAGAGGAGGAGAAGCCATCTGAAAGAGGGGGTGTTGTGAGGCTGGGCCTAGGCCAATCTCTGGAAAAACTCTTAAGTGACCCTCAGACTCAGAATTTCCCAGGCTGGCCCAGCCGGGCGTGGCTCAGCAGCTGAGCATCGGCCTAGGATCCAGGCGATCAGGGTTCGATTCCTGGTCAGGGCACATGCCCGGATTGCGGGCTCGATCCCCTCGATCCCCAGTCAGGGGTGTGCAGGAGGCAGCCGATCAATGACTCTTATCATAGATGTTTCTATCTCTCCCTCTCTTTTCCTCTCTCTGAAATCAATAAAGATATATTTAAAAAAAAAAAAGAATTTCCCAGGCCGGTGGAGCCTTTCTTGAGGCTCTGAATACATCTTAGCTTTTGAAAGAACTCAGGAATATAACTTCCATGGAAACTTGAAAATGAACAATTCAGGCAGAGAAGGGCATCAAGACTGTGTTGGACACATTCACTGTGGACACTGACTGTATCTGGTCCAAGGGACAGCTCTGGAAACTCAAGAACAAAACTCCCTCAACTGGAAGCTCATCTTAGGCTCAGAGGCCGAGTGCAAGAGGTTGTGGGGGTTAGAACCCAAAGCCCATGTCCCCCGGATGCAGATCACTAGAGCTCTCTAAACTTTGTCTTCATTTGCAACCTTCGCAACCACTCCTTTTGAGGTAGGTTTTACTATCTCCATTTGCAAGATAAGGAATCAGAGTGGGCCGGGAAGGTGATGTGACCCACCAGTGAATGACTGAGCTGTGATTTCTCTCCCACGTTTCTCTTCCTGGAGCATCTAGCTGACCTCAGCCTCCCACCCATGAACTACTGGCTATAGGAAAATAGGATATTTCTGTCTAGCAGAGAGGATGGAGCAGGAGGCTTCTCTGTCTCCCGGAGCCTTCACCCTCCACATCACACTGACCCAGAAGGTTTGCAGCCCCACCCCAAGCCCCTGAAGTTTGCGAAAAGGAAT